GAGGAAAGAGACAGCCAGATAGGATTATGTCCGTATCTCTCGTCAGGAAGAGGTGTGTTTCAGGAAGAAATCCCTCTGTTTGTGGCTAAACGATGGGGATCGGAATACAAAGTTCTTTCATCGGATGGCGAATGCACATTGCCGGGTGAACCAGATTAACAAGTTGCGGGTGGAGGGTCGAGAGCTAAATACGGAGGGGGCTATCAAGGATGGGATTGTGGCTTTTTATCAGCATTTGTTTTGGCAACAAACAAGGGAGTGGTGACCAGGGCTGGCAGGGGTTCACTTTGATATGATTTCAGAGACGGATAGGGTGGCTTTGGAACGCCCTGTTATAGAGGTCGATGTGTTTGGGGCTTTACAGGCAATGTGTGGGGACAAGGCGCCGGGCTCGGATGGCTTTACCATGGCATTTTTTCAGCATTGTTGGAGTGTGGTTAAGCCGAATGTGATGGAAACTTTGGAGGCTTTCTTTGTGACAGGCCAGTTTGAGAAGAGTCTTAATGCGACTTTCTTGGCTTTGATTCCTAAGAAAGGGAGGGCAGAGGATATTTAGGATTTTAAGCCTATTAGTTTGCTTGGTAGTGTATATAAGCTTTAGCTAAGGTCTTGGCAAATAGGTTTTGAGGGGTTTTGCAAGCAGTGGTGTTTGAGTCCCAAAATGCTTTTGTGGGGAGTCGCCAAATTCTGGATGCAGTGTTGGTGGCAAATGAGTGTGTGGATTCTCGAATTCGACAGGGCCACTCAGGTTTGATTTGTAAGTTGGATATTGAGAAGGCTTATGATAATGTTCGGTGGGAGTTTCTTCTAAACGTTTTGGAGCGTATGGGTTTTGGATAGAGTTGGTGTAGGTGGATCTAGTTTTGTATTTCTACTGTGCGGATGTCTATTCTAGTAAATGGTACGCTGGCTGGTTTTTTCCTGACCTATAGAGGCCTTCGTCAAGGGGATCCTTTGTCTCCATTATTGTTTATCCTAGTGATGGAGGCATTGAGTCGATTGGTGGATAAGGCTGTTCTTGAAGGTCTTTTGGGAGGCTTTTTAGTAGGACCTCTCACGGGGGCACCTATTTGCGTTTCTCATTTGTTGTATGCTGATGACACTTTGATTTTTTGTGGGGCTGTGGCGGAGCAAGTGGGGTATTTGAGATGTGTTTTGTTGTGCTTTGAGGCAGTTTCGGGCCTTTGGGTGAATCTCGGGAAGTCGGAAATGATTCCGGTGGGGAAGATGGAAAATTTGTCAGTTTTAGTGGCGGTGTTGGGATGTAAGGAGTCGGCTTTGCCGGCTACTTATTTGGGTTTACCGTTAGGGGCGACGTTTAAGGTTCAAGGGGTGTGGGATGGCGTGGTGGAGCATATTCAGCGCTGGTTGGCGGGTTGGAAGAGACAATATCTTTTGAAAGGCGGTAGGTTGACTCTAATCAAAAGTGTGTTGAGTAGCATTCCGACATTCTTTATGTCTTTGCATGTTATTCCGGTTTCAGTGGTACGTCGGTTGGAGAAGCTTCAGCGTGATTTTCTGTGGGGTGGCGGGGGGGATGATTTTCGTTATCATTTGGTGGATTGGGGGCAGATCTGTAAACCAAAAGAGGCAGGAGGTTTGGGGGTTCGGCGTTTGGTGACTTTCAACAAAGCTTTGGGTAAGTGGCTGTGGCGCTTTGCTTTGGAACCGAAGAGGGTTTGGAGACGGGTGGTGGCTAGTAAGTTTGGGTTGGCTAAGGGGGAGTGGGTGGCATGGGCTGTGGTTGGTTCTTATGGGTGTGGCTTATGAAAAGGGATTGAGTTGGGGTGGGTGTAGTTTTGGGCAAGGGTGGATTTCCGGGTGGGTAATGGACGGAAAGTGCATTTCTGGAAGGATAAGTGGTGTGGCGGAGTTGCGTTAGCGGATCGTTTCCTGCTAATTTTCGAAATTGTAGGGGATCAAGACGCTATGGTAGCAATCTTATTTGGGGGGTGAGGGTGTGGTGGTTTGGGACATTCATTTGCGCCAAGTGTAGCGATCCCAATTTTGCTACTTCGCTGAGTATGTCGGGAATCGAGCTGCCCGGTCAACTCGCGGGGGTCCAGGGGGCAGAGCCCCTTGGTGGGTCCAAGGGCAGCGCCCTGGCGGGGATTGAGCTGCTCGATCAGCTCGCGGGGGTCCAGGGGGCAACGCCCCTTGGCGAGTCCTAGAGCAGCGCCCTGGCAAGGTTGAGGGGCAGCGCCCCCGAAGCAAAAATGCAAAATGCATTTTGTGATTAGCACATTCATATATTTGTGGGATCATTGTTGTTATCATAAATTTTATCCCTTGCGTGTTTTGTAATTTCTTGATTGTAATGTAATAGAAATGTATTGCTTTTATGTAGCATTTTTAACACCTCATTTCCTTCACCTATGATAACAAACATAGTGGTTCTCATAATTAGGGTAACAAACAAAAAATAAGTCATAGAGCTCAAAAAAATGGATTGGAATACAATAGGAAAGAAGCGAGTTTAAGAGTTAGAGTTTTGGAATTTTTACCCATGCAGATGCTGAAAACTCATTTGTTTATTCCTTTTTTTTTTTGAATTTATACTCTCTCTCTCTCTCTCTCTATATATATATATATATAACTTTGTAGTCTTCATTTATTCTTGCTTCGTGTTGTCATACAAAAATGGCGCTACAACATACGATTGGGTTCGGACATTTTTTTCTCTTATCCGCTGAAAGAGAAAATTTTTAAAGATTCCCCTTATTCTTCCGTTGCTGCTACCACTACTAATCAGTTTAAGGGAAAAGGGTGGAAAACTGGTGTGCTTTCCTCAAGGATGGACAATTCTACCCCTGTCAATATCATCACCAAACTTTCCGAAGTCACCTTCCCGAGTGCGCCCCTTTCTGTTATAATATCAATTGCTATAAAGATTATTTTAGCTTTGCATATTCCTGACGTATATTTCCTGTGAATTTGATTATGAAAGGCAGGCTGGTGGTTTCACATTAAGCAAATTAAGAGCTTCTAGAATAGCTGAAAGACTCAAGCCTGATGATGATGGGGGGAAAAAGGATGGAGAAGCATCTAGTGGGAGTGATGGGGAGGATGATGATCCCTTACTTATGGATGAGGAACAGAGGCAAGAATGGAGCAGGAAGATTAGAGAAGTGATTGATATGAATCCGGATGTCGAAGAGGAAGTAGACCCTGTCAAGAGGAGGAAGAAGATGCAGAAGCTTTTGGCTGATTATCCACTTGTTGTGGAGGAGGATGATCCTGATTGGTCCGAAGATTCTGATGGGTGGGGTTTCAGCTTGGGTCAATTCTTCGACAAGATTACTATAAAAAATGTCAAGAAGGACGATGATGATGAGAATTATGATGGTGAAAATCAATTGGTGTGGCAAGATGACAATTACATTCGTCCAATCAAAGACATCACCACCAGAGAATGGGAAGAGACTGTGTTCAAGGACTTCAGTCCTTTGATTGTCTTTGTGCATAATCGATATAGAAGGTTAGTTTTCAGTGTTTTTTTATTTTTTTTCCAGGTTGCTCCATTTTCCCTCTAATTTCTCATTCGAGTTGCTTCTTTTTTTTTTTCCCCTGATCATCTTGGTTCTGAATTCTGACTGGATATACATTCATCAGCCATTTGATATAAAGTACTAGTTGTCTTAGCAGTCTTGGGCAACGTTGCTTCATGTTCTTTTTGTTTCCTAATATGGTTTGTGATTCTCATTTCCATTTGATGCCTGTGCATTGATGGATCTGATTCTCATTTTCCAGATTGGAAGTGATGTGATCTTCTGAAGTTCTAGTTGCTTCTGCAATGCTATGATCTTCTTCTTTTGGTGCCTTATACTGTATCTAATTACAAATTCATGGAGTTTCTCCTGTTAGTCTTGGTGAACCCGTGACTTTTCTATATATTCCTTGGTAACAGCTATCCTTCTTGTGTACCAATTTTCAATTTATGTGATTGATGGTTATCTGGTTCACATTGAATCTGTGTTCAATCTTCTCATTCTACTTATAGAAGTTCACTTCCTATGGGTCAATGCACATGGATTAATTGATTTTCTGACCTTTCACGCTTTTCTATATTGCTACTTTCGACTACTCAAGTCGAGTGTTCTTTCATAATTTCTTGTATGCTTACAGCAATCACTGTCTAATAAGGGAAAGAAAAATTCTGTTTGTTATTTGATTTCTAAAGGCTTGGGTCAATTAATTGGCGATGTTTATTGATGTTGATTTTCCATGGTGCATTGGAAGCTATCAGTATATTTTTAATGAGATGTCAAACTTTCATGATTGATTTTATAGCAAAAAATGCTAGATTTATTATAGAGTATATTTTTGTTATTTAATGAAAACTTATGAATCTCTGCAGACCACTGGAAAATCAAAGGATGCGGGATGAATTGGAGAAAGCTGTAAACATCATATGGAACTGTCGGCTACCATCACCAAGAGTAAGTAAAGCCATTTACTTATTTTTTATTCTCATCATCCCACCTTTTAACATTAATTTTATTTTCAACTACCAAACAGTGTGTTGCAATAGATGCTGTTGTTGAGCTTGATTTGGTCTCTGCTCTGCAAGTGTCCATCTTCCCTGAGCTTATCTTCACTAAAGCTGGAAAGATCTTATACTGTGAGAAAGGTAAATTTTCTAGTAAATAAATTATATTCTTGACACAGCCTCAGCCTTGAATCATAATAATTGTATTATATTTGATTTTTTTCCTGGTATTCAGCGATTCAAACAGCAGATGAGTTGTCAAAAATAATGGCATTCTTTTCTTGCGGAGCAGCCAAACTGCCTAGCTTGAATACCGTTGGAATAAGTGAAGAACCAGTCCCTACCATTTGAATCAACAGCGAATAGTGTCAGAATAAAAGTTGTACATAACTATATATATATGTATGCTATGGTTTAGAGAATGAGTTTCTGGGTTAGCGATGCTGTGTTTACCATGTTGTTCCCCATACAGATCAATGGACACCATGAAAATTTAGCTCATATGTACATTCTAGGGGAGATTTGTAACTACATTTAGCAATTGTTTGTTAATTTCAGTGTGAAAACTGAAATTTTTGTTATTTATGAACAAGATGAATAAAGAGTTTCTGCTTCTTTTTTTTTTCTCCCTCAAATAGTTTGTGTCCTGTTCTTTAATCCTTGATTTTGGTACCAATATAAATACTAGCTTGTTGCATTCATTACACAACCAATTGGTGTATGGAGAGGGCTCATATAAAAGGAAATTTCTCAGGGCCCGTGTATTCCTTGATTTTAGACATTTTCAATATGCTGTGCAGAGTTTCTAGTACTCTTTGAGAGACACAGGGGCTTATGAGTTCATGTCAATTTAGGCATTTGTAGCTTTGAAAATCCAAGAGGGGATTCGTATTTTAGCTACCAACTTGGCATTGGAACATTGGCGGTCGCCCCCCAATGAACACTTCATCAAGTGTGACCTGTGCAAATGTGTTCCACGTGGAGTTCCATACACAGTGACAATTAATTTGTAGAGTTTATGCAAGCTATAATCCACACAACTCATGACACAAGTAAAAAGACTTCAAAAGTAACATTCTCACAAATAATTATCCGCAGAAATTGAATTTCAAATCATCTCAAACAATAAAAGGCACAAAAACCGGTCATATGGCATGCTAGAGCCCCCAATATCCACCGCGATGAACATTATTACACACTGACAAATATGGTCTACATTTAATCTTTATTTTGCAGAAAAGAAACTTACATTTAATCTCATACCCATGAACAACCCAAAACCTTCCCACCAACAAAGCATCCGATGCCACAGCCACTTCAATACTAGCAGCAGCCATCGTGACCCAAAGAGCATGGCAGCACCTGCTGTTACAAAAGCAATAACATTACCTCCAATGACACAGAAAAACAAAAGAAAACAAAAACCTATAAAGATGAAACATACCATCTTTGAATCATGGAGGACTCAATGAGCTCTGAAGTTCTTGGATGCAGGTACTTGACATGCTGTCATAGGTAACCACAAATTCATAACCATTAGCAGTATAGAAAAGTAAACTTTAGACATTTATGGCCATTTTGAAGCAAAACCAATCCGAATAGACCATCTTAGATAGGTCAGGTTAAAAATAAATAAATGATTTATGTTCTTCAAACATAATCAGGTTCAGAAAAACAAATGATTTGCCTTCTTCAAATAATTTGTTACATTAATTTGTCCTGCTTGTATATGAACTAGCTGAAGGTTAGATATGCTGACCACCATTTTGTAACGATTGTTCTCACAAATTATGTATGTATGCATCATTGATGAAACATAGGTAAGACGATGAGAGCTGCAAAAAAGCTAAAGCAATAGTCGACCATATTGATGTAAAGGAGCTTGGAAGAAGAAAATTTAGCTCAGATTTTGCTATTGTAAGGCCAGGTTTAAAACTGAATAAAGCAACCATTAGATGAATTCTTTTAATTCAAGTAGTTCGGATACACTTGAATGTGAAAATTTTCTTTGGGCAAGCTTTCTTTAAAAAACACAAAAAACAATTCAAAGAAAATATGTAACTATTTTTAACCAATAATTGTGATTGACAATGAAAATTGAAGTTCAATTATGAATCATGCAAAACATGTCAAGCTTGATCAATTTTATGACAAATATTTGTCATAAGAGGTACTATTCATCACACAAGTCCTGGTGCATGATTACACCCAATGTCTTAGGATAGGTTTATTTCGCCATAAAATATCATGGTTAATACTATTTGAGATATATATCAAGTCTCATTATTTTCATACACATTGAATATTTTTGTTCTCTTCCTCTCTCTACATACACCTATACATATATATATTCCTATATATATATATATATTATGATTGAGCAATTGATCAAAATTAAGGCTTGGGGTTATTATTTTTGTTATATTCAATCCTTGTCTTCTTTTATTTTTGAATAAGGATAAAAGACAATTTAGTCCCTAAAGTGTGCGATGTTTTTTTTTTAATCCCTTAAGTTTCAATTTTGTCATTTTGGTCCTTAAAATTGTCAATTTAGTCATAGGTCTAACGTCCGTCTACATTGATAACAGGAATATGAATAAAATATAGTTTTGGTCCTTAAAATATTCATTTATTGTCATTCTAGTCCCTCAAGTTTTAAATTTTGTCATTTTAGTTATCAAAGTTGTCAATTTGATTATAGCTTAAATTAACAATTTTGAGAACCAAAATGACAAAATTTAAAACTTGATAAACTAATATGATAAGAAATGGATACTTTAGGGACCAAAGTTATCTTTTACCAAAAGATAAAATATTTTTCCAATTATCAATGTAAACAAACGTTAGAGATAGAACTAAATTGACTCAAATTGACAACTTTGAAGATCAAAACGACAAAATTGAAGGTTGAGAGACTAAAACTGTCTTTTATCCCTTGAATACTGATATACAAACATAATTTGCATACAAAAAAATCTATATATAATGGTATGTTACATTTATATCCACTCATTAAAAACAAAATTTCATTATTATAATTCATAATTGTAAGAGTATTGTTGTCACATCATTTATGTTTAATCTTATACGAAAATTATATATATGAATATTATCTTTCTATATTTTTTTCTTTTTAAAGTTTACTCTATAATTAGTTCTTTATTAATATTTTTGTTGGAGAAAATATTTTAGTGATAACCAAACATCCAAAAATAAAAAATAAAAAAAAAATTTGGACAAAATTACCTTACATGAAAAATATTTTATAACAAAACAAACGGAGCCTTATTGTTGAAATCTCAATCAATTTGAGATTAATTTGTTTAACAACTTCTACAAATTGCAAAAAATATATAAATTCAAATTTAGATACTGAACAAATTAAGGTGAATTTATTATTTGGTGAATTTTTTTTTTAAAATTATTTATTTATAAATGGGTTACCCCTTGACTATTTATTTAATATAGTGTGTTACAGTTGTAAACCAACTAGTAATACAATGAGCAAAAGAAGAATCATATACCGTAATAATAGTGATTTCGGTATGTGCACAATCTTATACCAATCCTCCCCCTTTCCCTTCTCACATCGCCTTTCCAGTTCACAGCAGTTGATAATGTGCAACGATTGAAGGCCTCGTAGCCCTTCCTCTGGCAAAGACTCGAGCTTTGGACAGTCTATGATCTTCAATGTGACAAGGCTTGCAAGGTCTCCAGGCAACACTTTAAGCTCATAATAATACTCAATCACTAGTGACTCAAGAAGAGTAAGGTTCCTCAGAAACTCTTTTGGAAAACAAACCGTCTTGCCATCATAACCAATAGTGAGGGAAGTGAGACTATTAAGATTTGATATTGAATTTAGTCCCGTGGTGCACTCGCCAACCAACGACAATTCTTTGGGAGCCGAAAGATGCGGGAAGCTCAATTTAGGACAATAAGCAATAATTATCTTACGAAGACGAGGGAACAACTCTCTTCCCTCCTCCCTTGACAAACCTTCCAATTTCGGACAATCGCGAACTGTGAGTTCTTCCAAAGATGGGAATCCTCCACCGCCAGGATATTCGTTTTCAATACACCCCACTACTTTCATTCCAGAAATTTCAAGGCTTTGTAGCAAAGGTAGTTGTCCAAGCGGTGGAAGTTGTAAGCAGTTGTTGCACCCGGAGAGCCGGATATTAACTACATTTTGAAGATCTGAACCCCTCATCCAGAGCGGGAATTGAGTACCTATGTACCCGCTTATGTCCAACTTCTTTAGGTTTGGATGAGGTTGAAGGGCTTCAAGTACTAGCTGAGATTTAACATTTTCCTGTGATTCACATTCAGCAAAACCATATGCCCACTTTAGTTGCAACTGACTAAGATTTTGCATTCCCACTAAATTGGCTTCTTTTGCATCCATCGGATTTCTCACTCTCTCAAGGTGCCAGATACAAAGTTCTCCTTGAAGGTTTAAGCATTTCAATTCAGCTAGGGGACTACAATCAGTGCTCTTACCCACAACAAATTTATTTAATGTCTTCAGGTTAGTTAGCTGCCCAATTTTTGGGGGCATCTCAATTAACGGGCAATTTAACAGATAAAGATGTCGGAGACTTCTCAGGTACATCATGTTCTGGGGCAATCTCTCAAGATTGTGACAGTGTTCTAGGATTAATGTTTGCAAATTCAAGAGATTACAAATTGAATCAGGAAGTCGCTCGAAACCAGAATGGGAAAGGTTCAAATACCTCAAATGTTTTGAGTTGCCAATTGAAGGTGGCAACGCTGCCACTCTGTCCGGTGCATCAAAAGCTCGCAGTGAACCAAACATTCTGAAATCACACAAAAATAAGTCATCTAGGAATAAGCAATATGAACGTTGTTGTCGTAATGTCCGTAAGGATACAACTTTGTGAAATGTGATATGAAAATTTTCCTTGCGCCCGGCAACCAATGTTAGATGATGAGCTTTTCCGTTGTATATATCACTTGAACTGTTAAACTCGATCATTTGACATTCACCCTTCATAATTGATTGGGCAAGATCGTGCACAAGATCATGCATCTTGAAATATACATCACTTACGTAGTCCACCTCTTGGAAAAAAGATACCAAACATAATTCATTACAAATCTGATCACCAATATCTTCCGGTTCCCATCCTCCTTTGCATGAAATATAGCCATTAGCCATCCAAAGATGAATTAGGTCTCTCTTTCGAATTTAAGAACCCTTTGGGAAAATGGCACAATAAGCAAAACATTGTCTTGATTCCAATGGAAGATAAGAGTAACTTAATCTTAAGGCAGGCAAGATGGAATTTTTGTCCTGGGGTAATTTCCAAATTTCACTTTCCTTAACATGAAGCCACTCTTTTTCCTCACTTTTGAAGCGCATTAGCCCTCCGAGGGCCTTCGCAGCTAAAGGCACACCCCCGCACTTCTTCACTATCTCCTTCCCAATGGCGACAAAGTTTGGGCGTTCTTCATTTCTAAGTCCAAATGCTCGTTGCCTGAACAACAACCAACAATCTTCTTTGGATAAAACTGACAAGCGATGAGGTGAAATAGTTCCCATGATTGATGCAACCTTATCAACACGAGTAGTGACAATAACGGAAGCACCTTTTGATCCACATGCTAGTGAATACTTGAATGCATCCCACTTGTCTGGATCTTCGTCCCACACATCATCTAATACAATCAGGTATCTTTTCCCATGCAGCATGTCGCGAAGCTTTCTCTGCAGTGAGTCTAGGTCAACTGCCTCACAAGCTTTTTCATTTGCAGATTCTATTGTTGCTTTGATCACCCTTTTCACATCAAAATCTTGAGAAACATAAACCCAAATTTTAGGATCGAAGTGGGGTTTGACCCTCTCATCATTGAAGGCCATTTGCGCGAGGGTTGTCTTTCCAAGACCGCCTATACCGAGTATAGGATACACAGAAACATCCTCAATATCACATACATCCTCGACCAGAAATTTGACAATCTTTTCTTTATCTTCATCTCTTCCGTAGAGTTGTGGTTCAGTGATAACGGAGCTGGTTTCACGGCTTACATCATATTCAACTCGTGTCACCACCACAACTTCCTCGGTCAATTGAAATTTACTGCGATTAGCAGCAATTGCATCTAACTTCTGTGTAATCTCTTTTATTCTGTTCCCTATTTTGTGACGAAACAAAACATTCTGAACAGGATAACAAGTTAACAAAGAAGTGCTTACCTTCTTGAGAGAACCATAACCTTGGCCTTTTAATTCACATCTGAGGGCTTCGGTTGCGCACTCATCCAAGATGTCATCTGCCTCGTAGGCTGCATCATTGAGCTCTTTCAACCAATTCTGTATAGCTTTGTCTTGCACTTGCTTTTGCTCTGCATCTTCAAGGACAGCCTGGATGGTGGATAGAGTGCTTGAAAGCTTTTTCATCTCCGTGTTTACTCCACAGAGCAATCCCACCTCATTTTGGATCAAGGAGTTGAGATTTTTAAGCACAAACGGAAGAAATGGAACAGCCATGGTCACTTGCTTTCTGGATTCAAGGTGTTAGGCTCAAAAATGAAATTGCAAATGTTTTTCCAACGTTGCTTTGTTAATTGTAAGGACATGTGCATCCCACTGGTTTCATGACTGTCCTACTCCTGCAGCAGTTCATTTTCGCTTGTCCAGCGAAGAAATAAACAATCTTTTATTTCTTTGAGGGGAATCTTGATATAAAAATCGTTGAATTTACACGCATATCAAAATTGAATTAACCAATAACATTTTCAATTCAAAATGGGTGCAATTTACTGCATTTGCTACCTAACTCCCGAGTAGAACCAGTGCTACTGTTAAGTTAATTATATTGGATTGTTTAGGCACAAGCAAGCGTCCAAAATTGCTTTGGTTCTTTGGACATGTGGTGTCTTTTACGGAGACAGTTGGACCTTACTTTTTCAACATGATCGACTCCTTTTTTTTAAAAAAAAATTAATTTATAAATAGTATTTTTATGCATAAAATTTATCCAAAATAAACTGGCATTGATATTTTTGTAATTATAAATCATAATAGCCGGTGTGTTTGTCTCAAGAAAAATTTATTTTTTTTGCAAGAGCGCGACTTCATAATGTTTGCATCCCACATTGATGGTAGATGATGTCCAAGATAATGGTACAAAATATTTCTGTTATGAAGAGGCATTTTGAGTTGGAGCTCAAAGGAACAAATTCGAAAAATTGATTGTAAGTTAGATCATAGCAAACAATAGTCTGGAAATGGAGAACTTTCTTTGTTAATTTTGTGCACCCTATATTGGCATTTTGGCAATCAGTGAGTATATTAATAGGTGAGTCAATGTTTCAACATTGCTTTGTTAATTTAGCATGAAAACTGCATCCCATTGGTTTCATGTGCACTACCCTAGCATCTTGGCAGTGTCAGTGATTATATTAATAGATGAGTCCATGTTTCAACCGTTAAACAAAAATAAATGATTTCTCATAAATAAATTAATTAATAAAAATAAAAATTAAATCAATAACGACATAAGAATTTTTATATTATTTTCTCAATGTGAGATACGTTCACAGAATTGAAATCCGATTCCATTATCAACTAAGAATTTTCAAATAATTACAAATGAGACACGAATGGTCTCACAAATCACTCTTAAATAAATTTCAAATAATTACAAATAAATAGAGCAAAGACCTCACCAAAGTAGATGAACCAATTATCTTCAAAACAAAGTATAGAGGACCCAAAATAATAGACCCAAATCAATCTCCACAACAAAACCTTCGAAGTTGCACTGAAAGTTCGCCCTACACAAATAAGATTGAACCAAGTTCGTTTCTTCCAGCCAAAATACACTCACAGTACTTGACAAATCAAACCACTGAATTGGTCCTTCTCACAAGCACACATCCACCGAAATATATCCATCAGCCGCTGCACTTTTTCGGAAAAACAAATACAATATCAAAAAAATAATGTTGATTCTTGGGCTTTTTATCAAAGTCTTAATTGTTACCAAACAGATTATTAAATATTTATTGGGGTTCCAAAAGTCAAATATAATATATAAAAAAATATTATAATTTACATCAAACCAAATTAAATATTTTTAATAAACTAATTGAGTCTCATACTCCACTCAGAAGATATCCCCAACAATTCTCCCTTTACCGATTTAGATGGAACTATCAACCACATCTGCCAAAGTTTGACACTTCAAATGTTCGTCCCTCGACAAAGTCTTAGTCAATATATCTGAAATATTATCATCCGTGCGAATCTTTTCGTTGTAACAATTTTAAATCTAACACATCACGAATCTAATGGTATCTCACATCAATGTATTTCGATCTTGAATAAAAAGTAGATTTTTTTACTCAAATGAATAGCACTTTAACTATTACAATAAAACACATACATTTCTTGCTTCAAACCCAATTCTTGCAAAAATTTCTTCAACCATAACTCTTCCTTGCAAGCTTCTGCAATGGCAATAAATTCAATTTTTGTAGTTGAAAGAGTAACACATTTTTGCAATTTAGATTGCCATGCCACAGCTCCCTTGCAAAATTCATTAAATATCCCGAAGTAGATTTCCTAGAGTCAACATCACCGGCCATGTAGGGATTTGTGAACCCATCAAGCATCGGCTTACCATTCCCAAAACACAAACACACCTTCAAAATCCTTCGAAGATACCTTAGAATCTATTTCACTGCTGCCCAATGTTCTTTACCGGGGATTAGAGAGAAAACGACTCACTACACCAATGGCATGAGCAATATTCGACCTTGTACAAATTATGGCATACATCAAAGAACCAACCGTTGAAGCATAAGAAATTTTCAGCATCTCTTCTTTGTCTTTTCCACTTGTAGGATATTGATTTGAAATAAGCTTGAAATAACCTACAAGTGGACAACCAACCGGCTTTACTTTATTCATGTTAAACCTCTCAAGAACCTTCTCAATGTAGCTTTCTTGAGACAATCAAATCAGTCCCTTCCTTCAATCACGAACAATCTTCATACCAAATATTTATTTTACCGGCCCCAAATCTTTCATCACTACAACAAAAAAGGATTTTTACGGCACCAAATGCATGTCGTGGAAATGATTCTACGACGCGCAAGGTAAAGCCATATTATGACCAATCATGGAAAGTCATTCACTTTCAACAGCATGCCATAGTGTAACGTCCCCAGCCAGAGTGATATTGTCCGCTTTAGGCCGGGTTATTGCCGAAGCATCACCTCGGCTCCTCACGGTTTTGTTTTTCCCTGGAAAATGCCTCACTTTGGGGAGGGAGGTTCGTAGGATTATAAGGCACTACCTCCCCTCCAACCTAATCGATGTGGGATTCACCTTAAGGAGCAGTACGCCAGGGCGCAAGATGTAAGGACCCACATTCATATCTTAGTCATATTCACGTGCATTCACATAACCTTGTCTTGTTAAGTTACATTCATGAATCTTGCCTTGTTTTGCCTAAGTGTTATGTGCATGTTTTGTTCCTTCATTGCTGCCAAGCCTAGGTCATGCCAAGCCTAGAATATGTTAAGCCTAAGTTACGTCAAGCCGAGGTCATCTTCAATCTAGAATCATCTTGGAACCACTTTGTTTGACCTCCACCTTCGCCCTGACATATTGGTCGAGATGTGATTATCTAGGCTGAGGGGTTCATCACCAAGGCCGAGATGTGTACCATCGAGGCCGAGATGTTACCTTTGCACCTAAGTGATCTTGTCCTGGAGTGGTATGACCTAGACCGAGGTGTGGCACATCTAGGCCAAGGTGTAGCACAGCTTAGTCAAGTGTTGTCCTTCCTAGCCGAGGTCATTGTCACCTTAGTTGTCGCAGTCTTGTTGTTAGCCGATGTCATCGCTTGCCGGAGTGCCTTACAGGGTAGCTTGTTAGATACGCTTTGTCATAGTCTTGTCTTGTCAACCTATCACCTTTTTGAAGAGAACCAATCAACCGCTGCCACGTGTCCGAGCTGAAAGTTAAGTCAGCCGATAGAGAGAGGAAGCCTATCATTTCTGTATCCTTGTTTTGAAGAAGAGAGAGAGGCTCTAGAAGAGGGAGAGGAGTTCTTGAGAAGAGGTAGATTTCCAAGCTTGATCCATAGAGATCAAACCGTTAGATCCGTATTCTAAGGTTAGATTCTTGATCTACCCATGTTGTTCTTTATGTTTATGTTATTGCATTGCATGATTGAATATGATTTGTAAGCCATGCATTGTTTTGAAGTCCGGTTTTAGAAAGAGAAAATAGCATTCATGTGTTCTTCAAGAAAAGTTATGTTTTGATCCAAAAGCTCATGCCAAGATCCATGTTTTTGTGTTTGTTTTCACATGATTTTCAAGTACGGGTACCCAGGTCCATGTTTTCAAACTCATAGCATGAAACCTCAGATTTTGTAATAAAAAAGTTATGATTTTAGCATTCATGTTCTTCATGATCTTCATGTTCATGTTCTTCCTGTTCTTCA